CCCTTTCAGGCGAGCCCTAAATTCAGTGCTTCTGCTGTCGGGGTGTTCACCTCCTGCACTGTAATTGTGTTCCCTCGAGGTGAGGCTGCAGAGGGGGAACCAGGCTCTTTGAGCAGCTCTCTGCCATCAAACACCTCTGAAGAATTCCTAGCACCAAAACAAGCCAAAGGAAGGGCTTGAATTGGACGTGGCTTCGTGCCCTTGTGTCATCTCGCGTGATGGTTTGATCTTGGGGTGTTTTCAGTCCTTTAACACTCAAGTTTCAGGACAGGCAGCGACATGCACCGGGATTATGCAACCCCAGGGATGGCTGGTGGGAGACTGGGTCTGTGCAGGGAGAGAAATCATTACTTCTGGAATGTTTGTGTGTGAGGCATTTGCCTGCGTGCCCCTGGGTACCCGCGGATCTGTTTATTCATGTGAGAAAGGGCTTACTTGGTCCTGTCAGCTGGAAGTGAAGGAAGAGGCCATCAGTGCATGCTGGGGATAAAATGGTTGCTGGTTGCTGGAAATGAGCTTAGGTAAGGAGGAAAATGAATCCATTTTGGAAGGAAACGGGAATAGTGTGTTCTCTATCCCCCTCCAGTCGTGGGAGCAGGAGCAGAGCAGAGAGACCTGTGCAGATCCGTGCTGTAAGAGCTGCGTGTTCCAGGCTGTTCATTGCAGTAAAAGCACACAAAAACCGTGCAGCATTTCACTTTGGTGATTAGAGCAAGCAGAGAAAATGGGGTACAAGGAAGAGGCTTCTGCAGGAAATTCCTCCTGGCGTGTATTTAACTCTGCCTCTGGCAGTGCCTCCGACCACTCCATCTGATGGGCAGCTCTGAGCTCTGCTCCGGGTTTATTCCTTAATCACTTCATAGAGGAATTGCGGGTGCTTCCTGTTGGAGCGTGGCTGTGGCTGTGCACCTAAACCATCCCCTCCTCCTCGCAGGGACACTGCTGGTTTCAGGAAGGATCCTGTTTGGTTTCTATCTTTGCCTGCCTTCTCCCACCGGGTCTTTATAGCTCCTGAAATTCCCCAGCTTGTAATCCCTGCTGCAGGCAGATGGGGACTGGGTGGAACTCCCATTGCAGCTGTGCTGCTTTTATTAGCCTGCCACAAGCACCTCGCTTACGTGGGCTTTTAAATATATATATTTCATGAGTTAATGAGCCCTGAACAGCAATGAAGAGAATCCAGCCAGTGCTGCCCGCTGCCTGTGTCCTTCTCCTAGTTTTTGGCATGATGCTGATGGAGGAAGGAGTCATTCAGCTGACACAGGCGTGAGGAGCAGGGGCTGTAGTTCCCCTGCACTGAGATTTAAGAGGTTCCCCTCGCTCCTGCTCTTTGGCTTCATCGCCCACCTCATCTGTTCTCGCTGCGGTAATGGAAGGAGCTCTGACAACGGTGTGAGGTTTGGATTCAGCTTTGCTTTTCCATCCCTTCACCCTCCCTTCCCTTCCCTTCCCACCCTCCTGGATCGTTTCAGAGCATGGCTGCACAAGTATTGGAGCTGTGCAGCTGAAGAGGGTGACGTGGGTGGCAGGGATATAGGGGGGAGGAGGAGGGCACAGGATCCTCTGGAATTGGATCTAAGCGTGCCGGAATAGTAACATGAAAGAGCTGCCTGAATTATTCAGCATACCCTCGTTTTCTTCACGCTGTGGTTCATTAAATGCTGCAAGAGAGCCAGGCTGGGTTATCCTTTACCTCCTGCATGTGGTGGGGCAGTGGGAGGGCAGTTCGTGCTGCACCTCGAGTCGTGCAGCTCCCAGTGGCACTGAGATCTCAGTGTGGTGAAAGGTGCTGAGTGCCCTGGGGTACACTTTGCTATGGGCACAGAGGGGATGCTGGTGCTGGGTGAGGTTCCACTTCCCACCTGCCTGCTGTGACCCGTTCATGTCCCACGGTGGGGTCTCTGTGCTGTCACTCTTAACCCAGCTCTAGGTGAAAGAGCCTCCTACGTGAGGGCCTGCTGATGGACTTGTGCTTCTGGAGCAGGAGCAGCCGTTGCCCCAGGCTGGGCTCCTTGGGCAGAACCATCCTCGGATCCTGTGGCTCTGTGTGGAGTTTAAGGAGGTTTTGTCCCTATCAATTTCACATCCAGGTCAAGTCCTTTGGCAAAAAGGACTTAAATGGTTTCCCTTTAATCTGATGACAGTCTTCACTTCCTAGTAGTAATCTTAAACAGCAGCCCCAAACCCTGCAAGTCCATCAAAACTCCTTCCTTCAGGCAGCTCTTCCTGGGTGCAAAAAGAGAGGTTGCTCTGCTCAAAGAAGATTATTTCCTCCTGGCTTATATAAGTTCTAAAATAGGAAAATAAATCCCAACCTTCGCGAGGATGAAGCCGTTTTCCAAACTCGGGGCCATCCCTTTTGAAGCAGAGGCTGCTCCAGTTGATTGTCAGACCTGCTTCCCCATGGGAAGCCTCAGCTCTGAGGGAAGGGTGGCAGCTTGACCCGGGGCCTGTGTCCTACCCACCTGCATCAGCTGGTGGTTGTGGGGTGAGGGTTGGTGCTGCAGCCTTGGCATGCACAGAATGTGGAGGGTTTGTTCTGCTTTGCAGTGTGTCTCTAACCCTCCTCTCCCTACTTTTAGCTTTTCCAAAAGTCGGGAATGAATGGAAGACCCTGAGGATGCAGGCTGGGAGCAGCATCTCAGCCCTGCTGAAGTCTGTGCACATCTTCCTGTTCTTTTGCTTGAGTCAGGATTTTGCAGCTAATGTTGTTGTTAAAAGCCTCTTTATTTGATCAAACAACACCACTTGTGCACGAGTCTGCAAATCAAAGATGAGCCTTAGAGCCTGCAGAGCAGTTCTGGCACTCAGTTAGAAGGGAAAAAGGGATGGAAGATGGGTGAGCACTGTCCTGGTAACAGTGTTGGATCCTCATCTCAGTTCTCTCCTTTGGAGCTGGTTGTAGGTGTCCCGTTCTACACCTGCCAGGCTTCAGCAGGGACATCACTTAGTGCAGAGGTGTTGTGAAGGTCAGTGGTGTCTTTTCCCTGCATAATCCTATAATACAGGATTTTGTCGTGTCTGGCTTCAAGCCTTGAATATAAAGCCAAATGGGAAGGTTTTAGGACGATTTCCCATCCTGCTGGGAGAAGGCAGACCGTATGGTGACATGTTTGGGATCAAAACAGTGGGATGTTGTCAGTGAGTTTCTGCTCTGCATCACACTGGTCCTGGAGGAGGAGATGCAGCTGGGCCGTGCTGCGGGCAGGCAGCAGATGCAGAGCAGCTCATGTCTGAACATTCCTTGCTTCAACCTTGAAGTTCCATCTGGTTTAAGGCAGGGAGCAGGTCAGGTTGTGGAGCTGGGGTTGCTCTGACACTTAGCAGTGCTGGTGGGGCCTCTCCTGCCGCTGAGATGTTGGTCCCTGCAAAGGTTTGGGCAGCAGCATTTGTTTGGAGATCAAACATGTGGGGCACAGCGAGGACTTTTGGAGGACTCAAACTGATGTTCCAGGTTCAAAATTCAATTTATAGCTGTTTGGAACAAACCCCAAGAAGTGTTTTCATGATTGCCATAGAACCATCATAGAATCAAGAGCGGTTTGGGTTGGAAGGGACCTTAAAGCTCATCCAGTTCCAGCCCCCTGCCCACAGCCCTCTGTCTGAAGCCCCTCTCCAGGTTTCTTGTAGCCCCTTTAGGCACTGGAGCTGCTCTAAGGTCTCCCCTTAAGCCCAGCACATGGGGAGGGTTCTGGCTGCCAACCAAATGCAGTATCCACCAGTGTCCACAATCACGTTCACGTGTGAGGTCTGTGTTCCTGGTGTGTGTGTGAGAAAATCAATCAATTCATGGAATCATAGAACCATAGAATAGACAGGGTTGGAAAGGACCTTAAGATCATCCAGTTCCAACCCCACTGCCATGGGCAGGGACACCTCACACTAAACCATGGCACCCAAGGCTCTGTTCAGCCTGGCCTTGAACACTGCCAGGGATGGAGCATTCACAACCTCCCTGGGCAACCCATTCCAGTGCCTCACCACCCTCACAGTAGAAAACTTCTTCTTTATATCCAATCTGAACATCCCCTGTTTCGTTTTGAACCCATTATCCCTTGTCCTGTCACTGCAGTCCATAATGAAGAGTCCCTCCCCAGCATCCCTGTAGCCCCCCTTCAGATGCTGGAAAGCTGCTCTGAGGTCTCTCAATTGGGCTGCTCTCATTTTCCAAGAGGCTTTGACATACAAAGTGGAAACAGAAAGGTGAAGTCTGAATATGGCGTTGAGTGGAAAACGTCTCAGCAGGTTAAGCATGGCTTCTGTGTGACAGCAGGCATCGGGTGTTGCACAGGGATGCGCTGGGCCTAAGGCCACAAGGTGTTAGCTAAGTCAGGAAGCTTTTCCCTTTTAAATACCTGCATCCTCTTGTGTTATTCCACAAGTAAAACACATTCTGGCTTGTTTGTTTCTGGCATGAAGTCTTTACCCACTTCCCTTCCCCTCTGTGTTCCCACAATACCTTTCCAATTTCAGAAAGCAACTGCAATTTGCCTTTAAATAACCTGGCAGCAGCTCTTCAGAGCTTCACGTCTCGGTGGCAGCCCCTTTTAGCAGCGCTGCTGGTGGGAGGCTGCGGGAAGGAGTCGCTGGTTGCAGGGAGGCAAACACGGCAACAATCACGGCCCCATTCCTGCCTGCTTTGCAGAACGGGCTCTGCCATTGTCCAGCAGAGCTCTGCTGACCAGCGGGTTTGTCTGGCTGCATGCAGAGGGCTCGGTGTGGTTTTTTCCCTTACTCTTCACAAACATAGAGGTGGGGGAGTCTCTCGACAGGACCAAGGTTTTGTAGATGGTTCAGCAATCTGCTTGCTTCCAGTTCCTGTATTTGACATCTGAACCGCACTGTGCTCCTCCTTTGGGAAACCTTGATGGATCCTAGCCGCCTGGTTGGATGTGAGTGACCCAGTGATGTGTGTGTGTTTGCCTGAGTGTGGGAGCTGATGGGCACCCAGCACCCAGCCTTCCCTGGGACCTGTCTTTCCTTAACGTGGTGTGTTGCAGGATTCCCCGGGGTCCTGTGCAGCAGCCCCTCGAGGACCGGATCTTCACTCCGACCGTCTCCGCTGTGTACAGCACTGTGAGTATCTGCTGGTGCCAGGAGCCTGTTCTCCAGGCATAAGGAAATGGGAGATTCCTTTCAAACCCAACACCATTAAACTATTGCAATTACCATTTGTAAATCACAATTCACAATCGAAAACACCCCACAACATTGGGTTTTGCCTCCTGAAATAAGTGATGCTGGATGAAGACCCTTTCTGTCACATGTAAGTAGGAAAAGAAGAAAGCCTGGGGACTTCCATATCCAATCCTTTTTTTGTTGGGTGTCTGTAGTTTTATTTAGCATGTGGTTTCCGAACAGAGTTTCACCTGAGTGGGAATGTTCCTGGCCATGGTTTCAGGCTGTTGACTCTGCCCCTTTCCTGCCTCCTGCATCTCAAAGACTGCCTTGTTGTGCTTTAGTCCTGCACGTTTCTAAGGGTTCCTTATCGGAAAAGCAATCAAGGAAGATTGGTTTTTCAGGTGAAACATTCCATTACCCAGAGGAAAAGATGGTTTGGTTGTAGGTTGGGTATTTGGGATAGGAGCTTTCGGCTCCCTGTCCTTTGTGTTTGTAATTCTTGAAGAAACTTAGCTGAGAAACGTGATGAAGTTTATTTGTGAACGTTTGATCCTGGTTTCCTTTTATTCCTTTCTTTTTTTTTTCCATGGCAGTAGCTGGAAGCCCAGTGTTATTTATGAGCTTTGCTAAATCAGCACAGCCCTGGGAAAGGAATATTTTGCTTTTCTGGTGGGATAGCACAAATATTTTTAATGGCAAAACCCCGCTTTTAAGCTGCTCTTTTTAATTATTGGGAAAACAGGAAGCAAAGCTGTAGATGGGAGAAATTAGCTGTATTTTATGCAGTGACATAAGCTGCTTATAGAAAAACATAAGCTGCCGTATGAGGTTTTCTCCTTCCCCCTGTTTGCATGAATAGCTAGTGGTGGGGTTGTCAGCTCTGTGTGTGGAGTCTGGGTCTGGAGCATCTTCAGCCCCTTCCTGTTTTGGGTTGTAGGAAGAGCTTTGTGATCCCCTTTTCCACCACAGACACTGCTGGCATAGGATGCAGAGCCGGGCTTTGCACAGGATTAAGTGCCAACGTGCTGTCCAGTGCCCCTGGGTCCAGAAAAGGCAGAGACTTGGGTGATAGTTGGATACCAGGAGCAGGAAGATAGTTGGATAGTAGGAGCAGCAAGCCTCAGGCTTGAGCATGGATGCTGTGGTGGGCAGGAGGCAGCGGGTTTCCATCCAGGTGAGTCAAAGGGTTGGGGTACAACGCTGATGAGGGTTTAGCACTTTGAGCTTTGTGGCATTGACAGCAGTTGGATTGCCAGGCTCGAGGTGTGCACTGGTTGCTGGGGTGGTTTTTTTGCTCCCTCTGTCCTCAGCACCATGCTGCATACGTCTGCGTGGGTATGCATATGTATGTATGCAAAAAGCAAACCCAAAGGAACACAAATGTACAAACAGTTACAATAAATAATTCAGTTTATCCTTTATATACCCCATAAAACACTTAAACCCCACTTTAAATACATCTGAATTGCTTTGGGGGGGAAGAAGAAGGTTCTTTTTTATCAATTCTTTCATCCAAAGATATAATTCAGATGCCTGTGGGGAAAATATGACTGTGAAAATTTAAATGAATGTAAAATATAAAAGTAACTGTGAAGAATGACCTAAAATAGGGTTTGAGTGTGGAAAAATACCACTCCTTGATGTGGGACCGGAATAGAAGCCAGGGCTGGAGTAGCTCAGTTCTGGGCTTGAAGAAAACACAAGTTTGAAAGAAAATGTCATGGTTTAGAGAAAGGAGAGAAATTTCTCAGCTCGGTTCCTTCTGAGCTTCTATTTGAAGCCTTTGGCAGATGGCGAATGTAGAGGAAGTCCTTGCTCAGATGAGTTCGGGTGGAGGAGGCACGTGATGGAGGTCCTTGACAAATTCATTCATCGCAGGTCTCTCTGCTTTATTCCACGAGGAGCAGCGTTGTGTGCTTCAGTTCTGGGTTTGCAACGAAGAGGTTGTGTTTAGTGTCTGATGTATTTTGTCTACACATGACAAAACTCACACCATCACGGGTATGGCAGAGCACCATTGGCAGCACGGGGCTCTGCTCTTCCACTACCACCCTGCACTAGCAGTCATCCTGTGTGGGCTCCTGCACGGGGCAGGTTTCAAACACGTGTGTTCCGGTGGAGGATGGCTGGTCTGGGAGGAGGTCTGAGGTCTGGTACCAGCTCATGGTGACTCTGAGTTGCTGTGGTGGTTTCCCTGGAGGTTATAGTGTGTGTGGGGTGGGAGGATGAATCATTCAGGTGTCACAGTTACAGAATGGTTTGGGTTGGAAGGGACCTTAAAGCTCCTTCAGCTCCAACCTCTGCTACAGGCAGGGACCCCTTCCACTGGAGCAGCTTGCTCCAAGCCCCTGTGTCCAACGTGGCCTTGAGCACTGCCAGGGATGGGGCAGCCACAGCTTCTCTGGGCACCCTGTGCCAGCGCCTCAGCACCCTCACAGGGAAGAGCTTCTGCCTAAGAGCTCAGCTCAGTCTCCCCTCGGGCAGGTTCAAGCCATTCCCCTTGGCCTGTCCCTACAGGCCCTTGTCCCAAGCCCCTCTCCAGCTTTCCTGCAGCCCCTTTAGGCACTGGAGCTGCTCTCAGGTCTCCCCTTCAGGAGCCTTCTCTTCTCCAGGCTGCCCCAGCCCAGCTCTCTCAGCCTGGCTCCAGAGCAGAGCTGCTCCAGCCCTCGCAGCATCTCCATGGCCTCCTCTGGCCTCGCTCCAACAGCTCCACAGCCTTCCCCTGTTTGGGGGTCATGGGCAGCCCACAGCTGAAACCACTATTTTTAGTGAGGTAAAGATGAAAAGTAACTTGGTTATCTTTTCCATGCCTTTCCACGTGTGTTATCAGGACATCAGTTGCACATTCCTGAGCTCTTTTTTTCCAGAATTACATGCTGCTTGCCAAAAACGGGAATGGAAAATCATGTGGCTTTCACTGTGAGCCCCGGTAATCTCCCCCGAAACAAAAGCAGAGGAACCCGTTCCCCTGTTGGTCAGAGATGGGAGGTGAGGAAGTGGCACAGTGTGGTTTGGCAGGTGAAATCAGGTTTGGCTGAGCACGTGGAGGTGCTCAGAATTCCTCCCAAGACTTCGTAGAACCTCTTTGTCAATGAAACCGTGCTGGTGTTAAAACCAAACCCACCGAACCTCAGTGTCTGTCATCTTCATTCATTTTATATAGAATACTGTAGAAAATGCTGATACCTGGTACGTTGTTGGAGTCTGTTTTATAATAAATAAACCCATTAGAATTATTTTAAAGCAAATCTCAGCTGGAAAGAGCTGTTACAATGAACTGATGTTGTGATCATTTCCCCTCATCAGCAATGGAGAACGCTGTATCGTGAGAGCTGTGTTCGGACATAGAATCACAGAATGGTTTGGGTTGGAAGGGACCTTAAAGCTCATCCAGTTCCAGCCCCCTGCCATGGGCAGTGAAGATTTGGGTTTGGTCCTGTAGAGCAGCTGCTTGAGTGGTGTTCCCTAATTCTTCATACTGCAAGACCTTAAGGCAATGCTCGTACATCTGCTGTCAGATCCCAAACCTGTGGAGTCTGGAACAGGGAATGAGAATGAAGTTTGGGATCTCTTGTTAAATATTTCAGAGAAGTAAATGCAAAGACCTGTTTGCCTTGGGTTAGAGGGAAAGACCTTGGCTCCTGACACATAGGGAACTGCACCAAAGGTGACCTCAGATACCCCGGGCCACCATGTGTGCCTGCACACAGAGTAGTGGGGGCTGGTTTCTACTGGACCTGAAGTGCCTGTGGAGGGATGCTCAGAAGCAGATGTGTGCTCTTCAAGGTCAGCACAAGGTGTGAGCTGGGAATCAGATATAAACCATGGCTGGGTAACACACATCCACTCCTCACACCTTTGGGGCAGATGATGGTGGAGGGTCATAACTGTCATGGTAACGTGATCTCAAGTGCTGCAGCTTGGACCAGAAATACTTTGGGATATACTTTTAAGAGCTAAGGGACAGCATTGACTCCTGGATTAGGGTTTAGTGCTATGTGGGGTGCCCGTTTGGAGAGAAGTGCTTGCAGGTTGGTTGGGTGCAGTCTTGAGCGGAGTTTCTGTAGCATGGCTAACTCTGTGTTAACTCATGGTGTTAACTCTGATCTCACCATGTCCCTTTGGAGAAGGTACCACCCCCTGTCAGGTTGCCCAACTCATTAGTAAAGAAGGTGATGGGAAGGTGAGGTATTGAAGACCTTTTTTGCCCCAAATTGTCAGTGACTAAGCTTGACTCCATCATTCCCTTCTTTGGGTGTCCATTGGGTTGCTTTGCTGCAGCAGGATGCTACGCCTTGATGCCTCCTGGTAGCTTCAAACCCAGCAGAGGTACTGTGATTCGCCTTTATGTCCTTTAAAGAGATCTTCCTACAGTGAAGAGAATCCTGTAGAAAAGAGATTAGGGAGGATTAGCTCCAGCCACCCTGTGCTTCAAGGAAGGATCTGGGTCAGGAGGCCAACTGGTGCCCCTGTCTGGCTGTGGTGGAGGCTGCAGAGTATGCAAGGGATGCTCATGTCCTCAGTGCTGCTCTGAAGCTGTTTGTGCCAGCACAAGTGAACTCATTGAATGCTGGTAGGGAACAGGTTCCATCCAGGTCTGAGCCCTTCTTGAAGGGGGCTTTGTTTAAGGAAAGGACAGATCTCAGTGATGAACTGTTAATGGCAATCTGTTGTTGTATCATAGAACCCCAGCCTGGTTTGGGTTGGAAGGGACCTTAAAGCTCCTCCAGCTCCAATGGATGATGCCACAGGCAGGGACCCCTTCCACTGGAGCAGCTTGCTCCAAGCCCCTGTGTCCAACCTGGCCTTGAGCACTGCCAGGGATGGGGCAGCCACAGCTTCTCTGGGCACCCTGTGCCAGCGCCTCAGCACCCTCACAGGGAAGAGCTTCTGCCTAAGAGCTCAGCTCAGTCTCCCCTCTATCAGGTTAAAGCCATCCCCTTACTAATAAAAGCCATTTAAAACCATTCTGCCACTTGTCTGCTACATTGCACCAGGGTGTCTTGTGGAGCATCATTCATGGTGCTGCACAGCTTTCCTTTCAGTTTGGCTTCCAGATTCCATACCCAGTTCAGAGCAGTGTTCCTTAGGGTTTTCTATTAACCTCCAGCATAGGTTATGTGCATGTTTTAATTTCTGAAGAGCACTCTTGAACGCTCACACTAACCTGGGATATTATTAGTGCCCCTGTCCCTCTTGTCAGGCATTGGTGTGGACTTGATGCTGTTGGAGATTGGAGGCTTTTGGGTGGCTCTGGCCTTTGCTGGAATACTGTGTGCATTTGTAGGTGTAGGGAGGTAAAACTGGCAGTGTTTGAAGTACCACAGGTACTGCAGATAACCTCTTTTTCTCTATAAGAGGCGATACATCTTGGTGATGTGAACACTCACAGGCTCCTGATGGGGCTCTTTACGGTGATACCCTCGTCTTTTGTGTTGCCTTCACTTTCTTCTGCCCATCTTAACTGCGGGTGTTGATGTCCATCACGATCTACAGTCACTTCAAAGCACTGAGCGCTGCCTCGGTGATGTGACAGGTCTGTCAGGCTTGTCTTAGCAGTCACATGAGAGAGACTTGGGTTTTCTTGGGGATGGGAGATGGGAAGTTCTATCACATCTCTCTAGCAGTGGCTTCAATTCAAGCTGAATGAGGCTGTGTGCGCACACACCTGCTAATCCAGATCAGCCAAACAAGGGAGCTGATTCCCCCCATGGGGAAGGCTGCAGTCGGGGGCGGAGGGTGAGGTTCTGCGGCTTGACCCACCCTCCTCTCTAATGAGCACAAGGCTGCTGTAAATCTTCCTGCAGTGAACAACCCTGGTCCATGTCCAAGGCTCCAGAAATTCCCGGTTGGGGTTCTTGGGGCCGGGGCAGCTGTTTTAGTGCTTTAGGTAATGCAGCGACAGGCGTCGGTACTTGGGATGCCATAAAATGGCTTGGAAAAAGCATTTAGTGGTGAACTCGGTGACTCTTGCTCTCATACTTTGCTCTCTTGGAGCTCGGTGCTAAATAGGCCATTAAAGATCAAGGGCCAGGAATTGCCTCCTGCCTTCTGTACCTTTTGTACCTATAATTTTTTACTATAGCGACTGTATAAAGTGTATTTAAAGCACTTCCATCATGGAGATAGCACAGTGGAGCAAGGATATGTGCCATGAGTGTATTTTACAGCATTTTGTTGGATGTGTTTTCATTAGTACTTCGTTATAGATGCTGAGAAAGGAGAAAAATGTATGCAGGAATTGCTCTGGAATTTTATTCTTTGCTTGTAGAAATCCCTTTGGATAACAGGGCCTCTATGTTGTCTTTTTTTTCCTTCTTGGAGTGGAATAGGCAGCTTTGCCCCTTACTTTGTTGGGTCACTGGTAATGTGTATCCCTTTGCAAAATCACCGTATTGTTTGATATGGCCTATAATGGAAGGATCAGGGGATCCCAGGCCCGAAGTCAATGGGCTATTGCAAAGCACAACCACATCACAACCACATCCAGTTCCTACACGTTCCCACCTCTGACTCCAGTTGGAGCTCTTTATTTTGTGATCCTTCCCTATTTTCCTGCATCATATAGTTACCTAACTTGTACAGCGTTTCACTTAGATAAATATAGGTATTATTTTATATATATTTATATAAAAAGATGCTGCTAGCTGCTTTCTTAAGAAGAAGATGACACTATCTATACAGATTGGATTACTAATACTATATTTTACTAACAGTTTATCTCCACACAGGTAACACAAGTAGCAAGACAGCCGGGTCCTTCTGCCCCATCCCCTTACACTGCACATGAAATAAATAAGGGACACCCCAATCTTGCTGCAACGCCACCGGGACATGCATCGTCCCCTGGGCTTTCACAGGTAAGACCTGGCACTGGAGCAGAGCGTTCCCAGCCGCCCTCTTTTCCCCTTGGCTGATGCTCGGCTTTGCTGCTCAGACATCAGCGTAGATGTCTGTGACCAGTGTAGAAACCCTGAGTAGTGAAGAGTGTCTTTCTGCAGCTCGAGCCTTGCAGTGCCTTACAGGTAGCTCTCAGGTTTATTAAGCATCAGTTCATTGTTGAGTCTGCAGCAGAAACTAAAAGCAACGTGAATAACTGCAGGAAGTACTCACTGATGAGGAATGTGCGTTGTTGTTGGGCATGGTCTGACTTCTATTTTAAACACCACAGAGGTGCCCAGTGTCCTCTGTTAGGGATTTTTCCATCTCAAGTGTGCTGTGCGGGAGGCTGTGATGCTGTACTTGGGAGAAGTGGGACAGTAAATGAGTTACAAAACGGGGTGCTAATAAAAGAAATGAGACAAAGGACTGATTACAAAAAAAAAGGAGATAAATAGGAGTTATAATAAGAATGGAGAAGTAACATCTAGTGAGATCTGTGGAGTAAATTGGTCCTTTTGTAGTCTGTATTAGATGAATATTCACCAGGGTTCATGTGAGAGTGGAGAATCTTATCATGAGGGCAAAAGAGACAAGGAATGGGGTGCAGAAAGAGGGGAGGTGAAGATCTAGGATTGGGGAAAGTGAGATAAAAGCTCTGAGGTTTGAGATAGAGGAAAGCCTTATGTTTAATTTATCTTGCTCAAATGAATGAGGTAGGAAGGTGTGAGTAGGTTGGCTGTTCAGATGTGTGCTTTCATTAGGTGGGGTGCAGGATGATGGGTTGGGAGCAGCGAGGTGCTGGTGAGGGCCTTGAGTGTGCTGAGCACTGGGAGAAGGCAGCTCCGTTCCTCCTGCAGCCTCTTGGCTTTGGATGAAACATTAAACTGCAGCTGACCTTTTGGACTAGGGGATGTGTGAAAACAAACCAGGTCATGTAAGGAACATTCATCTTAATATTGCACATCCTACGTAAAACTTGGTGGGAAAGCTGGAGACTTGTGGTGCTCTTTGAAAAGGTGCAAACGCTCATCCCTTATGGACTGGGAAGTCAGAGGCTGAAGTATCTCTTCAGGAGCATAAGTAGCTTGTGGGCATTAGCGGTGTCAGAGCCCTTTCTTGCACTCTTGACACGTGGCTGGTGGAAATACAGCCTCTGGTTTGGAGGCTGAGCCTCACCTAACAGAGGGAGAAGGCAGCAGGGCTGCAGAGCAGACCCCAAAAGCTTGTCTGGCTTGGGTCATGCAGCAAGAAATTCATTCCTGGTGCAGCAGAGGGAAGCTAATCCTGGGGCAGATAAGAGGGCAAGGAGGAGAACATTCTAGGCAGCCTCTTTAAAAACTCCTCTAATCAAGGGTTATTTCTTCCCTTAATACTTTCCTGTTGAGTCAGTGCATACGTAGGGAGCGGGCCCCATGCCAAACCTCCGCTCCAGCCAGCGGGAAAACGCTCCTTTCCTGTTCTGCTGCCTCTGAGCTCTTGGAAATGAGCTTCGATTGTGTCATTCTGATGCTGCTCCTAGGAGAGGGTTGACCTTACGTCCTCCATGTCAGCTGAGGATCCTTGAGAGCTCCAGGAGGATGTTTGTCCTCTGACAGTATGGAGCTGGCTCTTGTGTGCTTGGTTATAGGGCAGGGGAAGCGTTGGCTGTTGTGCACTTCTGGTGCTATAGAGAAGTGTGGTCTGGGGAGCTTTGCCTAGGTGATGCCTACAGAGCTGGGGTTTGGTAGCAAAGCAGAAAGAATGGTTTCTGTTCATTTACAGCACTTGTTTGGCTCTGACCAGGTGTCTTCATTGCTGAGCCATCCCATAGAATCCCAGAGAGGTTTGTGCTGGAAGGGACCTTAAAGCTCCTCCAGCTCCAACCCCTGCCACAGGCAGGGACCCCTTCCACTGGAGCAGCTTGCTCCAAGCCCCTGTGTCCAACCTGGCCTTGAGCACTGCCAGGGATGGGGCAGCCACAGCTTCTCTGGGCACCCTGTGCCAGCGCCTCAGCACCCTCACAGGGAAGAGCTTCTGCCTAAGAGCTCAGCTCAGTCTCCCCTCGGGGAGGTTCAAGCCATTCCCCTTGGCCTGTCCCTACAGGCCCTTGTCCCAAGCCCCTCTCCAGCTTTCCTGCAGCCCCTTTAGGCACTGGAGCTGCTCTCAGGTCTCCCCTTCAGGAGCCTTCTCTTCTCCAGGCTGCCCCAGCCCAGCTCTCTCAGCCTGGCTCCAGAGCAGAGCTGCTCCAGCCCTCGCAGCATCTCCATGGCCTCCTCTGGCCTCGCTCCAGCAGCTCCAGGTCCCTCTTGTGCTGCTGCCCCAGAGCTGGATCAGGGCTGCAGGGGGGTCTCCCCAGAGCACAGCAGAGGGGCAGGATCCCCTCCCTGAGCTGCTGCTCACGCTCTGGGGGTGCAGCCCAGCACACGGGGGGGTTCTGGGCTCAAGCGCTCACTGAAGCTGGGTCATGGGGAGCTTCCCACTGACCAGCACCCCCAGGTCCTTCTCCTCAGACTGCTCCATCCAATCTCCCGCAGTCTGTGTTTGTGCTTGAGATTGCCCCAGCCCATGTGCAGGACCTTGCACTCGTCTTTGTTGAATCCCTCAACCTTGCAGCTGGAGGTGACCATGAAAAATCACATTGGAAATGTCTACACCTGGGACTCTTCCAGCACTGAGGCTTTAAAAGGGTTCGAGGCTTTCGACATCAGCAGTTAGAGGATAACCTGTAGAACCCAGAGAACTTTTTCTGTACCCCTGAATGGGTTTGGGTGAATTCAAAGTCTGGATATTCTTGTGTATGGCAGCATCAGGTGTTGGGGTCAGTGTTACGTGATGGTAAGGAACTCCCAGTTGAGCAGAGGGTCAGGTGAAAGCATTACCTTTTCATTGCACCTACCCCTTGTCTCCTGTGGTTTCAGCTAATACCCTCTTGTGCTTGTGTTAAGGAGTGAGGGGAGTGGAAGTTTCCTATCTCCAGAGCACTTTCTGTCATGATTTCATTGATGTGCTTGCTTTGAGGTAAACACTCCAAATCCTTTAAATCTCTCATCACTTGAAAGTTCTCCCATGTGGCTGTTTCATTTGTCTGATTCTTGGGCTCCTTCAATGCTGCTGTGTCCCTTTTAAGACACAGGGACCCGGTGTGGTGTCCTGATGGATGGTTCATTACTGATTCCTTCAGCAGCAATATCCCGCTTGCATAGGCTGCTCTGTACCTGAACACCCCATGCTGATGACTGGACATTGAACAAAGGTTGTCTTTGTGGTTGTCCCATTGTGCCTGATGTTGTGGGGGATGCTTGTGCACGGTCAGAGGTGTGTGTGTGTGCTCTGGATTTGACAGAGTAATTAAAAAGCTAAAGAAGAGACCACTTCATTTGAATGAGAATCCGATTAAGAGGTCATTGATTTCTCCATCAGAACTGTGATTTAATGAGTACTCATCAAACCAAGTCTTTCTGAGGTAGGGAGTGCTGTTCAGGCAGTAGTGAATGAACATATTTACGTGTGGTTCTGAGCTCCGGGTATCATTCAGGCCTGAAAATCATTTTGCTGGTGATAGAATATGTGTTGCTTGCTTGTGTTCACACATCACTGAGGGCTGTCAGTGCAGGGCTCAGCAGAGAGGTCAGTGCCGTGCTTTTCTCTAGTGGGCATCTCAGCATCCCTCCTCCTGGGGCTCAGAGCCACTTACCAGATTCCTTAAGTGGGGATGTTGCAGGAGCTGTGCCGGAGGTGAGCAGAGCGTTAGTAAGTGCTGAGCTGGCTGCTCAGAGCTGCCTGTTCCTGTAAGGCTGGTGCCTGGGCTCAGGAGGTACCTTGGAACACTGGAAAGGATAAAAGGATCTGCTGACCCTTGGACACACTCCGGGCACTGGGAGCTGCAGCACTTGATAGGTCTGCAAAGTTGTGCATGACAAGATTTTGTCCAGTACCTAAAGGGGCTCCAGGAAAGCTGGAGAGGGGCTTGGGACAAGGGCCTGTAGGGACAGGCCAAAGGGAATGGCTTGAAGCTGCCCGAGGGGAGACTGAGCTGAGCTCTTAGGCAGAAGCTCTTCCCTGTGAGGGTGCTGAGGCACTGGCACAGGGTGCCCAGAGAAGCTGTGGCTGCCCCATCCCTGGCAGTGCTCAAGGCCAGGTTGGACACAGGGGCTTGGAGCAAGCTGCTCCAGTGGAAGGGGTCCCTGCCTGTGGCAGGGGTTGGGGCTGGATGGGCTTTAAGGTCCCTTCCAACCCAAACCAGGCTGGGATTCTGTGGTTCTACAACAGAATGGTCTGTAAGAAAGGTCTTGGGAAGCACTGGTCAGGAGGTGTACAGGATATTTAGCGTCTCCTGTGCAAAGACAAGCAGGTGCAGAGGTAGCTTGTAGCTTTGTAGCTGGTTTTCCTTTACCATTATTTAAGTAAGCAGCAGCAGAGGGTCCTGCGGGGCTGTGGTTTGGTGCCTCTTTCACTTTTTCTTCTACCTTTTCCATCTGACGGACCCAAAACAAGAGAAAGGCTTTTCCTGTTCCTCCAAAGTCTTCCATAATGTCTGGCCTCTGGCACTTTGCTGCCCTTCAGACTTAGGTTCTGTGGTGAAACGAGAAGAGCTCGGCAGCGATGTGAAGCCATCCTATCCCTGTCTCCACAGCAAGACACAGCATTTGTGCTTCCCAAATTCCAGGGCTTTGAAATCATCCTGCTGCTCTCAGGAATGTGGTGAACTCCGCCGGCACTGGGGAATGCACAGCACATGTTGCTGCAGTGATGTTATGGCCAGATGTGGCCCCATGGATATAAAATTCCATATTCCAGTTGTTCTTTGTGTGGAAGGGCTCCTCGTACTGACTGGGATTGGGGGAACGTGTCTCCTCTGCCCCCTCTCTCAGCTTGGAGGCTTCAGGAGTGTCTGGTTTGAGACAGTTCACTCTCTTATTGTACAGCGGAAAGGAGAAGCCATTGAAAAAGGAGGAGAGAAGTTTCTCCTTGGGCATGGCTATCAGAGCAAGGTGCCCTG